ACCTTCAAATATGGTGACGTTTATTATTTAATTTTGTCAGCGTGCAAGACATACTTTAACATTTATATTCAAAAACCATCACTGTATCATGAGATACAGTGACATTTATTTGTCAAAACTGTCACTATACCATTACATACAGTATGTTTATTATTTAAAATGGTCATCGTAGCATGATATATAGTGACCTTATTTTTTAATAAGAACTATCACTATTTCATGACATACGGTGACTTTTTTTTTTCAAAACCGTCACTGTATCATGACATATGGTGACATTCAATTTTCAAAATCATCACCATAACACGTCATTTGGTCATGTTTATTTTTCAAAACCGTCACCCTAGCACGACATACGGTGACGCTTAATTTTTAAAATTGTCACCACGACATAACATACGTGATGCTTATTTAACAAACTGTCACCATAGCATGAAGTACGTTGGCATTTATTAATTAAAATCGTCAACTTAACATGACGTATGGTGTCTTTTTCTTACAAGTGTCACCATAACAAGACTTACGGTAACATGTATTATTCAAAACCATCAACGTACCATGACATATGGTGACATTTATTTCACAAAACCGTCATCGTAACATGACATATGTTAACGCTTATTTTTCAACATCGTCATCTTAGGATGACATACAGTGACGTTTATTATTTAAAATTATTACCGTAGCATACAAATGTTGTCGTTTATTTTTCAAAATTGTCACCATAGCATGAATTAGGATGACATTTATTATTCAAAACCGTCATCGAAACATGACATATGATGATGTTTATTCTTTAAAATCGTCATCGTAGCATGACATATGGTGACATTTATTATTTATATCCATCATCGTAGTGTGACATACAGTGACGTTTATTATTCAAAATTGTCAACGAAGTATGACATACAATGACGTTTATTTTCGACACTGTCATCGTGACATGGTATASAATGACGTTTGTTATTCAAAACCATCACCGCGCATGGAATACAGTAACGTTTATTTTTCAAAACCGTCACCATAATATGGCATATGGTGAAATTAAATTATCAAAACCTTTGTCTTAAGCGAACTTTTTGTGATGATTGTTTTTATCATTTAACTGTAAAATGAATATAAATTTAAAAGCTCATATATGAATCAAATGATTAACATTACACATAAGAACATTAAAGTAATAATATAGATTATATGAATAATGCACGAGAAAACCAATAACAAAAGTACTAGAAAACCAATCCTCCTTCTCGCCATTATAACTAAAAGGTATACAAGATTGGAAAACAACAACCATGAATACAACAAATCATGAAAGAGAGACGAAGTTTTAACATATGATTAAAGATACATAAGATAAAAAAAGTTTGGACCTATAAATATTAAAACCAAAACTCTAGGACTAATTRTGCATCACACCCAATAAAAGAAGAATCCTATTTTGGGCCCTTATTTCACACACTTTTGGTAGTACATTTGAGGTTTCTGGCTGATTAATACCCTTTTGATGCATCCATAGTTGGTGTATGGGTTCCATACGAATACCCATTTTCCTAATGTTGTTCAAGGAAGCAGAAATATGTACCGAAAAGTATTTTTTTTTTCTCAGTGGAAGATGCAGTAAAGGGTTTAGAGATGGAGTTATGTTGGTGCTTTGCCTAGGGTGTGCTTTATATACATATACACACACACACATATATATATATATATATATATATTTGTATATATATTGATTTAGTGGTGATAAATGGGAAATTAAATGGCAGATGGAGGGACAGAGACAGAATTGCAAGATCATGTGATTGTGTCTTCCAACTTGCATGAGATAACAACATTTCATTTCAACAATAAGATCACCGAGGATATAATTAATTTGAGTGATAAGTAAGCCACTACGAAAGCAAGATCACATGGTTTTGTCTTGACGATTTTGGTCAAATTAAAGGTTTGATTGGTGGAGGGATATATGGCTAACTAGTCATTTCTAGATACCATTCAAAGATCGATGGATATAAGCCTCATGCATGGGACCATGGTGTTGGAAGACAAAACCATGTGATATTGCTTTTTCTCTGCACCACACATCACCAGCTCTGATCTACCTCTCCGTATATGAGTTGGTTATATAAACCATTCTATACGCATAACCACAACCACAACAACATACTTCACCAAGGATTAGTTTGAGCTTTTTCTTCCTTCATCAGCCTTTAGAGCAAAGCAAACAAAGACTGTCCGCTACTTAGAAAAATGGCCATTCTTATGCCTCGGATCATTCAAGCAAAACAAATTCTCCGACGATCATTGTCAAATGGAAGCAGCAATACATACATGGCCRTCCCTAAAGGTTATTTTGCTGTTTATGTTGGGRAACAAGAGAAGAAGAGATTTGTGGTTCCAGTATCATTGTTAAGCCAACCTGCATTTCAAGAATTATTATATCAAACAGAGGAAGAATTTGGGTACAGCCATCCAATGGGTGGCCTCACCATTCCATGCAGCGAAGACATATTCACTGATCTTGCTTCTCGTTTGGGGGCATTATGACTTGTACATGGTAGTTTTAAATTTCTAGCTTGGTTTTGTAAAGAACGAACAATAGGACCTTTAAAAGTTTGTAAGACGCGTGGAGACAATTGTCCCAGTTTTATGAAATTTGATTTAGGAATTACATATGACAATTGTGTTATGAGCTAAGACATAAATGACACAATACAATCCAATTCTTATATCTGAATAAACTAAATGGCATAAACTAGAATTATGAAAAAAGTAAGGGGTCAAGAAATTGCCACCTCCTTCTTTCTCTCCACCCCTTCTATCTCAACGAAGATGGTATCTTCTCCCCTATGAAAAGTGAAGCCCATAGGTTCTCAACAACGATGGATCTCTAGCTTACATTGCCGCCCTCCACACCTATTTCCTTCTCCTAAACCGCTCTCCCTTTCTCCATCCTTCCTGCTACATCTCCACCATCTGAACCGAATCTCTCGCCCGTTATGTAAAGATCAAGACGCTCTGACCAATTGGAAAAGTCAATCTCGAGATGTTCCTTTTATCATCTTTCATCGATCTGTACAACATACTCGATTTGTTTTTCAAATTTTTTGATTTAGAATAAGGGTTTGATTTAAGATGAGTTTTGTAAAACAAATTTTTATATTTTGGTTCTTCGGTCCAAGAAGTGCTTTGGTTGGAACTTTTAAGATCTAATTTCAACTTAAAATAACATACTAAATGTAAAGATAACTTTGTAGACTTGAGGACTTTGACATATCATGGAAATCCCTATATAAATCAAGATAGGATTGCAGACATAGAGAGAACTTATATGTCCAAAATTATGAAAAAAGTAAGGGGTCAAGAATAGTATCAACAACATGGTCCCATGTACTTTAAATGAAATGTGGCTATGTATCCTAACGAACATAAAAAATTCAGGCTAAAATCTCTGGGGTTTTCTTATAACACACACACACACACACACATATATATATATATATATATATATGTGTGGGGGGGGGGGGAATGATGTGCAAGCCACTATGAATGCATAATCACATTTTTTTGTATAATTGAAGTTTATGGCCAAAGGTTTTATTAGTAAATTAAAGAGAGTATGGCCAACTACTTATTAATCTAGACCTATTGAAGTTGTTTTACTATTGCATTTAATTTTCTTTTTAATTAGTCATGGGATACAAAACATCAATAAATATGACAATTTTAAATCAATTTAGACAWGTGTAACTCCTACAATGATCTCATCATATGCAGACTRCTACTATACCAACATATTTTTAAGTGATAAGTTCAATTCACTATACTATAAATTTTTTAGTTCACATGCAAATAGCTGTAGACACGGGAACTCCTTTGGCATCCAGAATCATAATGTAAATATTTCTTTTCTGCTGCTCATTCTTGTTAAAGCTCAGAAAACCATTTGTAACTTTTCTCGTGGCACATTTACTTCAATGGTAGACATGAATATAAGGAAAAAAAACCTATCATGAGTTGCGAGTCTTTATTCAACACAGTGTTTATGGTCCGATCTCGTAAAGCCAGTTGTTTAATTCATTGTATCTGCTATCGCGAATGCTTAGGGATGTTCGTGTGGTAATGTATGAGATGCTTTTATCTGTCTAAGGGCATTCACCATCGGGAGAAAAGATCTCAGCGCAAATTTAGTAGACTATGAAATATGTTTGTCATTTATGTCTTAGCTCATAATAAATAGGGAATAGATAATTCCTAAATCAAATTTCATAAATCTGGGAGAAATGTCTCCACAAGTCTTACAAACTCCAAAAGGTCCTAGAGGTTAGTTCTTTACAAAACCATGGTAGAAATTTAAAAGTGCCATGTGGAAGTCATAATACCCCCAAACGAGAAGCAAGATCAGTGAATATGTCTTCTCTGCATGGAATTGTGAGGYCGCCCATGGGATGGTTGTACCCAAACTCTTCCTCTGCCTGACATAATAGTTCTTGAAATGCAGGTTGGCTTAATAATGAAATTGGAACCACAAATCTCTTCTTCTTTTGCTCCCCAACATAAATGGCAAAATAACCTTTTGGGATGGCCATGTATGTATTGCTGCTTCCATTTGACAATGATCGTCGGAGAATCTGTTTTGCATGAATGATCCGAGGCATAAGAATAGCCATTTTTCCAAGGAGGGCAGAATCTGTTGCGTYCTAAAGGCCGATGAAGGAAGAAAATGCTCAACTTAAATATTGGTGAGATATGTTGTGCTGGATTTGAGAGGGAGTTGTGGTTGTATTTTGCATAGGAATGGTTTATATAACCAATTGATTTAAGGAGAGGTAGATGAGAGATGGTGATGTGTGGTTGTAGGGAAAAAGCAACATCACATGGTTTTGTCTTCCAATCCAACACCATTGTCCCTCATGGATGAAGCTTATCCATCAAATTAATCGTTGAATGATATCACAATAATGTTATGACATTTAAAGTCAACAAATCTATTGGTTATATAATTTCAAGTAGATTTTGGAGTTCAATTTAAAAGTAAATTAAACGTTTGAATTGAAAATTTTCCACTTAGACTCTTGTTTGTGTGAAATGTAGGTATCATATATATATATATATATATATATATATATATATATATATATATATAGTGAAAATACATTTATCAGTTTAAATGCATACAAGAAAAATACTACAGATAATAAGACGACATTGTTCGATGTTCTACCAAGTACCATGAAAGGAGAAAAATGCAACAACACATTCAGTGTTGTATATGTTTTGGATCAAGTCTCCTTGAGAAGAAATATGGATATGACATGCAATACTGCATTATGTTTTCATTTATAGGTTCTATATGCTAGTTCGGCTAAAAGCTAGGGTACCACAAGAAAATTTTGTTAAAGATATTGTAAAAATTGGTAATATTCATAACAGGATATCCCAAAACATGCTTAGGGCACTTGCGACACTAAGGATGGGTTTCCAGCACACAAATACAGCGAACTAGGGCTAAAAAAAATAGGCCCCGTATGGAGATCGTTGAGAAGGACCCAAATACTAACCGCCTCCAACTCCTTAGCACCATTCACAACACCTCGGAAGTTTTTAATGCCAAATACCTTCTCGCATACAACCGTGCCTCGGAGGATGGTCCGGGGACGAATCTTCTCCCATCCCGATAGGAAGATAGGATGATGTGGTACAAGAAGGATGTGAGTTTATGCCCCGTTTAAAGCGCTCGTAGACTTGACAAGACATATAATGTATAAAATTCTTCGACCATCGTTTTAGTAATTAAAAAAATAAAAACTCTTGTAAATAAAAAGAAACGAGACATATACTGAAATCTATGAACCTTTTGCAACAAATCTCAAATTGGAATTTCAAGAAGTAATGAAAAGAAGGCCGACTTTAATATATTATGTTTAATTCTTCATTATACTTATTGACCTCTCGTCTTAGAAAATTAAGTTAAATATTTAGCTTTTTTTGGCAGATAAAATAGTAATTTTTATCTCAGAAGTTGATAATTAAAGTTGTCTAGTTGTTGGCAAAATGATATAACCACATTAATGTATTATAAAATATAAATCTATAGAAGTTCTTCTGAAGAGTGATTARTTGTCACTTGATGCATGGAAATGCTCAACACTTTGGTATATCCATAATTATTGAATGTGGATTCCATTTGACATAGATCATATAATTTGTTCTACACAAAGCATAAATAAATTTCATGGTCGTTGTGATAGTCAGTTGTGAAACCGAGCTACATAGAAAAGGGAGGTACTGAACTTCCTCTTTGTACAACATGTTCGAAATAACTCTTAGTTCCAGTTTCACACAACCGGGACAAGCGACTTTGTCTCACAAGTTGTATTTATATGGTCAGTGATCAATTTTCACAAAAAAAAAAAAACTTGTTTTTACTACACGGGATTGTGTGTTGATGCGACAAGCGAGATCAAATACGCCAAGCCGACAAGCCAGATCTACAAACATGTCTTCACTACACATGATTGTGAGCCCATCCATTGGATGGTCATAACCAAACTCTTCATCGGCTTGACGTAGTACGTCTTGAAATGATGGTTGGCTTAACAAAGATACATGGATCACAAATCTCTTCTTTTCTTGCTTCTCATTGAGATAAACCGCGAAATACCCTTTTGGTACCTCCGTAGTTGTTGGTGTATGGGTTCCATTCGACAAAGGTCGTTGGAGTACTTGATTTTCTTGAATGATCCAAGGCATACGAATAGCCATTTTCCAAATGTTGATAAAAGAATCCGAATGTATTTTTTCTTAGTGAAAGATGCTGCAGTGGGTTTAGAGATGGAGTTATTTTGGTGCTTTGCCTATTGTATGCTTTACATATTTGATTCATTGAAGCTTCAAATGTACGATTGGTGATAAAAGGGACATTGAATGGCAGATGGAGACGTTGAGACAAAATTGCAAAATATCATGTGGTTGTGTCTTCAACTTGCATGAAAGAACAACATTTCTGGTCAACCATAAGATCGTCGAGGATATTTTAATAGTTTCTGAAATCTGCATTTGGAGTATAGGATACAAGAAGGGTTAGACATAGAGGATGACTTTTTATGGCCACAATTCTAAACTAAGAATGAGGTCAAGAATGACATGAAATCCATGGCCCCAGGTACTTTAAGTGTAATGTGGTTCTGCTTCCTAAAAAACAGAAAAAAAAAATCATAAAAATCTCTCGGGTTGTCTTAAAACATAGGCGACCCAATGATGTGTCATGTATATAGATATAATTACGTGGAATGATGAGCAAGCCACTATGTATCTAAAATCACATGGTTTTGTCTTCAAGTTTTGGCCAAATAAAAGGTTTGATTGGTAGAGGGACATAAGGCTAATTCAGTTTTCCTCTTCAATGTGTCCTGAGATACATAGGTGCAATGAATAAAAGGAATGGTACCTGGTAGAGATTTGCAAACACCACCCACAGATAGAAGACATTTTGGTTAATGAACGGAGGTGAAAATATTATGGAGCCAACTTGTGAAGCTTGACTAGATCCCATTAGAACGAAAGAGGCTTGATAAAAGAAATGAAACGAGGAACGTCTTGCATAATTGACAAGTTTATGCAAATATGAAAAATCAGTGAATACGTTTTTGCTATATTGAGAGATCAATGA